AATGTGTACTGCTTGGATATACACTGGAAAGACCCTTGAATGCACTGGCTTAACATCTGTGCCACCTCCTCTTCCTTAGCAGTGGCTTAGCAGATGAGTACCACACCTAGCAGGGTGATTCAGGGTGAGAACTGTCAGGGACAGGTAAGTGTAAAGCTTCCTTCTCTCCTTTGATTGCATGGAGACTTTCCATGTAAGCACATCTGGAAGAGCTCTGCTGTGGAGACAGGCTGAGAGAGTTGGGAAGAGAAGGCTTCAGGAACACATCACTGTGGGCTTCCAGTACTTAAGAGGGAATTATAACAAAGAGATTTAGGGACTGTTTACAGGGGTTGATAGGGATAGATAGGACAAGGGCAAATGGTTTCAAATTAAAATACAAGAGATTTAGATTAAATCTTGGGAAGAGGGTCTGTACTTGGAGTGTAGTGAGGCACTGGAATAGTTGCCACAGAAGTTGTGGCAATGTCCCATTCCTGGAAGTCCTCAAGACCAGGCTGGATGAGGCTTTGAGTAACCTGGTCTAGTGGAAGGTGTCCCTACCTATGGTAAAGGGGTTGGAACAAGATGGCTATTAAGGTTTCTTCCCATTCAAGCCATTCTTTGATTCTAAATTTCTGTGATTTCAAACAAATTCCAGGCAGGGACAGTGTGTTTGGAGTGGTCCAGATTTGATACCCTGATATACTTGAGGCAGTCGCAGCTCCCTGGCCCCAGGTCCAGCAGAGAGGTTGTGCCTCTTGTGTACCCAACAGGTACATACACAAGTACATACATACCCAATGGGCTTGTGGGCACCCTGTGTCCTTGCAGTCACAGCACCACTGACACAGGGGCCTCCCACCCCAGCCCCACCCCAGAGGCTCTCACTGAGATCCCCCAGACATGATAGAGCCCCTCACACAGAAAAATAATCTGAAATGGGGTTTAGTGAGAGTGCCAGTCAAATGCAGGTACAACACAATGGTCCTGTGAGAAAAACGAGGAACTGTGCAGACCCCGGTTGGCACTCGGTAATAACTCTCATGAGATTTTGTCCTCTGAGGAGGTGTCAGTTTCATCTTGGCATTCATTTTTGGTCTCCTTGGTTTCCTTCTGCTGGGATTTGAGCCTTTGTCTAAAGACAAGTTCTTGAGAAGGGAAGATGCCACACCACAGGAAAGCAGATGACTGAAACCTGTCCTTCCCTTGAGTGTGGGATCGAGGGAGCTGTGCCCAAGCACACGCAGTAGGAAGTCAGAGCAGATGGTGAAATGGGAGATGACTTTGTAACCCATCACCATGGAAATTCCCAAGACAGGGGGACACCACTGCTTCTGTTTCCTCTTCCTGATGCTGCTTACAGTTTTTACTCCTCAAATGTACGGAGCTCCCACAGCTAGTGCTGGAGTCCAGGATTTTCTAGTCCTTCCACTTGCTGCCTTGGGAAGTAATTTATTTAAAGTGTCAAAAAAAAAAATAATCCAGGAGTCCTCTCTGACCCTCTGTTCAACTCAGTATCCTCTTGATCACATTAAAATATGGCCACAGATCCTGCACAGAAATCTGCAAAGCAGAAGAAACTCCGTGAAAGCCATAGGATTTCTTTATGTTCCTGTCTGAGCCACCAGATGCGTCTGATTAATGTGCTTCCCTTGTTTGCATGTGTCTGTTTAAACATGTCTATGATGCCTTCAGAAAATAAAAAGGAAAAGATAAAAGAAACAAGCTAGCTACTTCTTATGGAAAAAAAAAATAAGAAGTGAAGCTATTGAATCAGGAACAATATTAACCATCCTAAAGAAACACAGGAACAAGAAAAATTTACAGGGTCATAAGACTAGTCTAGAAAGTGAGTTAGAGAAGTTAAGCAGCATTTCACAAATCCCAAAATCCTTCCAGCTGTAGCTAGATCTTTGGAGAAGTATCCAAAACACAAAATTCTGTTTCTATATCTCTCAAGATGGAGTAAGAATAACCAGTAATTAAGTCTCCTTGGACTATAAACCATGAAGTTGAATTTCTTTAGTCTGTATCCTTTGAGGTATTCTTTTCCTAGTCATCTAAAATCCCAGCTTCTGCTTTTAAAGTGTCCTGTATTAGCTTCAATCAGTCACTCCAGGCAAACTATGTGACTTGCATTGGAAGGTATAAGATAATTCACTTTTCCCAGGAGTGATGTAAGCTCAGCTGAACCTAGATGCAATTAGGGGGTGATACACTAAAGTGAGTGTGGCATCTCACATGAAATAGATTCTTTTTCATTATATTTGGGAAAGTAAGTGAAGAATTTCCCAACATAATTAAAATAATGACATTTATTTGTATTTCTCCCTCTCACACTAACGTTTACTGTTTCTCTTTTAAGGTTTACAAGGAGGGTCTTTATCTCCAGTAAGAACAAAAATGTCAAAACCATCCTGAAAGATGTTCAGCCTGTACCTGACAGCCTGCAGCGTTAGCAAACACACATCCCCTTCAGGCCAATTACTCTGATGCTTGCAGTTAGAAATTTTTTCCTCAGTTTAGGAGTCTACACTGTCCAGGATATTTAAACTCTTCTTACCACTGTTAGGGACCTGTCCAGTACAGTCAATGTAGCATGAAGAGCAATTCTTCTCATCAGAAGTCCGTGTCCTGTGGTCAGTTGAATCACTCTCTAGAATTCATTGTCCAAAATAGGGGAACTTGAAGACCTAAATAACTTACAGATATCAACACAACAGAACATTTAAAGCAGATTTCACCTCATTACTCGTTTGCCTGTACTTGAGACACCCACCCAGGGCTGGCTGCCATGGCACAGGAGCTATGGAGACCTGCACCCTTCCAGAGAAAATGATGATCATTTGTGATTCCCTAGAGAATTTCAAATAGCACTAATCTTCAGGCAGCTGAATCCCAAACCCCATATATAAATTTCATCACTCTTGTTTAAGACCACACTAGGGTCTTGGAGACTGGAGGCTGAGAAATTTTTTTAAATACTTCCTTATATTTACCAGCTTTTATCACTGTTCATCTCACTCTTCCTTCTACGAAACAGTGAACACAGGATAAAAAATGGTTGCTTTAATCTTCTTTTTCCACACTGATAAAAACTCCTGTTGTCTTTCATGGTGTCTTTTCTATCATCTCACTCTGCCTGAATCGAAATACACTATTCCAGCAGGGACCTTATCCATGCTGGCAAGAGTAGAAATGTTACTTACCATACAAATGGGAACCCAGATTATGCATTCCAGTAGCATGACCAAAATTGTTAATATCGGTAAAAAAACATTGAATCATTTTAGCACTCACTTCTGCTAATATCATAAGATTGCTTTAGATAGAACTGTTAGATAACTGTTAGATGACAGTCTTCCTGGAGTTATGCTGCTGGTTATTCCATAAAAAAGATTGGTTCTTTGTACTGTCATTTTTATCTTGATATTATATATTGTTACATGATATTATATAGTCTGTTTAAGATTAAATCATGTGCAGCATATGTAGCATAATTTGAATAATTATCATACAATTTATTAAGTTGCTCTTAAATCTTATTTCTCATTATTTCTCCAGTTTGTCAAAACCTTGTGCCATAAATAGTCTAAATTCATGATTCAAAAAAAACATATGAAATATAACTCAACATCTTACCTGAAAAACATTTCCTTATTTGTTAAATATGTTATAAAATTGCACAAACCAGAAGACTTGGGCAAAATAAGGATAGTAATATTAGTTAAACACCTTGCGTCACTACCTGATGATGAAACTGCTATGCATCATTTTTACTAATCAGAGGATATTATACAGCATGAGTCAGGCTGTCACAGATTTATTATCAGCTATATAAACACAGCTGAGAAGTGTGCTCAGTAGCTCAAGAGTGAAACTGAGGCACACAGCCTTGGATGAGGATGAAGACCTTTGCAATTCTCCTGTCGCTTTATGTGGCCATCTCCTCCGCATTTCCTGTGGCTCCAGAAGCAGAAGATGAAGGAAAAACCCTACAGCTTGTAGAGGTAAGTATTTTTTCAGTACATATCTAAGGGAAACATAAGGTATTCTGAGAGATAACTATAATTGCAATTCACAGAATAGGGGTGGAAACTAAAGATGTGCCATTTTGGAGAGATTTTAGGAGAAAGTTTTTCCTATCAGCCTCGAAAGTGTGTGCAAATTACAAGGAACATATTTAGTCAGAAGTCATCTGAATATTATATACTTCATTTTTGGTGTTGCCAGTAAAGTAATAACAAAACTACTGAGGTGTGAGTTCTAGCTGGAACAGTCAAATTCAGGAGCAATTTACTTTTCAGAATGTGCTTTGAAACTTGTGATATGACTGATCTTAATAATATAAGGAAGGAAACTTTCTTGAAGCAGGCATGGTTTTCTGTGTTTTGGCTGAGGAGATCTCTTGCAGAATATTTTGGAAAAAGGGAACTAACACAGACACAACATAATTTGTTGTAGACAAAATTCTTGAAATTCAGTAGGAAGGCCTGAGTTTCTAGTATCAGAATTTATCTGTAGCTAAAAATAAAAGGCATGATTCACCAAGTCTTACTCTCAGCTGCTTCAGTGGAAGTCCCAGCTGTGTGGAGTCTCACTGCCAGCCTCAATTTCCTTGCATGAGACCAGTTATAAGCTTCCTTGTAAGCTTTGATGTTAGAGTAATTGATCGCAGTAAATAGTAGAATTAGTTATCAGTAGTAAATATTAGACTTTTCAAGATATTTCTTGATATATTTCAAGAAATATATCAAGTGAAACAACAAATTCAGAAAACCATAGGAAAACTGTACTGAAGAAAAGAGGTTGTTGTTGGTCCTAGTAAACACAGGGCATGCCAATATGGGAATAGTTTAGGATTACTTAGTAAATTTAAGTGTAACCAAATCAGTACTGATAAGTCACAATGCTCTCTTTTTTTTTAAACTCTGATTCAGAGTTATCTACAGAATTTCTATGACCTTCAAAAGGATCCCCATCCCCACTTAAGAAGTGGTGGTGAAAACCCCCTTGCTGCAAAGCTCAAGGAAATGCAGTTGTTCTTTGGACTAGAAGTGACTGGAAGACCTGATCTTGACACATTGGAGGTGATGAAAAAACCCAGATGTGGTGTACCTGATGTGCAGCGTTATGCATTCACACCAGGGAATCCCAAATGGAAAAGAAATAATCTGACATACAGGTAACCTTTCCTTATCTGGTTCAAAAAGGTATAAATCTAGCACATCAACAATGGGATGGGGGAGTCTGAAGGAATCATATTATGTCATATATGGACATATGGACTGATTTAGTGATTTTTGGAAGAAGACAGATACTTTAGAAGGCAGTATCTAAAACAAAGTCTTTAGTAATTTTCATTCATGAAAGATATGTCTAAGATTTTTTATTTTTTTCACAAGTTATTATATTTCAGCTAAAATGATAAAATTTCAAATATTTTCTAAGCAATGTATTATGTGTTGGGTTTTCTTTGAAGGATTTTGAATTACACCCCAAAGATGAGACGAGCTGATGTCGATGAAGCCATCAGAAAAGCTCTCAATGTCTGGAGCAACGTGACACCATTGACATTCCAAAGGGTTGAGGACAAAGTAGCAGATATAATGATCTCTTTTGCTTATAGAGGTAACAGTGATAATGCAGCATATTAAATACCCATCTGAAGTTATGGGAGTAATTCAGGACTTTAACTATTTTTTTCCCTCTTGATTTTAGACCACCGTGACAATTCTCCTTTTGATGGTCCCAATGGACAGCTGGCTCATGCATTCCAGCCTGGTGAAGGTCTTGGTGGAGATGTGCATATGGATGAGGAAGAAGCTTGGACGAAAGATGGAAGAGGTAAGTTTTGTAGCTGAATCTGTATAGTTTTAACCTCACATGGTCTTACCTCACATGATGTTTACTATTTCATGAGCCTGCCTAGAGGCAGAAAAGTGAGAAAAAGAGACAGAGCTTTTAATTTATAGTTGCTTTCCCTTTGTCGTTGTTTTTTACTGCCATTTTTAGGCATGAACTTGCAAAAAATTGATTTTTAGATCATAGTGGCATTTATAATGGCATATAAATATTTACATCGTAACGTTTCATAATGATTTTAAGGTCAGCACTTTAAAATACTTTTTTGTTCAGAGGAAAGCTAAAATTTGGATACAGGGAAATCTGTTGGTAGACTTCTGAAGGCAAATTCTTTCTTTTTCTTAACATTTCAAAGTTGAGTGCTAACTAGGATGTTCCAATTATCACCAAAACTGTAATCTCATTGTTTGTTTTTAAGTTCTTTTTTCTGTTGGATCACTGCCAACAATCCCTCATCATGGGCATGATCCTTGATGTGAGCAATGTATGTGATAGCAGGGGAAACAACTCATGCTTAAGACAAAAGGACACTAGAGAGATGACAATGAGAACACAATTAAGGCCAGAAATTCTTTACATACTCATACAGGTCTTCTGTAACAATGGTTTTGTGTTTTTATGATGATAGGATTGCTTACAGCCTCTCTTGTACCTCTAGTGTATACTAGTTTCCCGTTTAGTCAGTCGTGCCGAGTATTGAAACAGATTTTATGCTGTTTCATATGGTTTTCATCCTACAGGCTACAATTTGTTCATTGTTCTTGCCCATGAGCTTGGCCATTCACTGGGTCTGTCTCATTCAAATGATCCTGGAGCACTGATGTATCCAACTTATTCCTACACTGACCCCAGTGAATTCCGTCTTCCTCAGGATGACATTGATGGAATTCAGGCCATCTATGGTAAGAAATAATATATTTATTTAATATTTCTACTTGGGAGGCTGGTAAAATGGTAAAATGAAGGTATTTAACATTCCACCAAAATAGGAAGCTTATCAGTTTCTGAAAAATGGATAACAAAAGGGAGAAAATTTCTGGAAGCTAACTTCAGCTGAAGTCCAGTTCTGCAAAAATCTCATTTTGAAAAGAGGAACACAACTGGTTTTATCAATATTATAATTCTGCATTTAATGACAGACTCTTACTTTGAAATCATATCTTTTTCCTTCTGTATAAAACATGTTTTCTGGGTCCTCAGAGAGGTTTTGAACACTCTCCTTATATTTCTCCACAATAAATTATAAATGTTCATCCTACAGGACGGTCTAATGCTGCTGTGCAGCCAACAGGACCTGTGACTCCAGAAGCTTGTGACCCAAATTTGACATTTGATGCTATTACTACTCTACGTGGAGAAATATTCTTCTTCAAGGGCAGGTAACAGCAATAAGCATACACGTTATTTTTTTTAAATATTCAGTAGTTCAAAAAAATTCCATGAGGGAAAACTGTCCTTTTGGAATGTAATACAAAGAGAAGAATCACTAGAAGATCCTTCTCAGATCATTAATCTGAAGAGCCCTATTTGACAAGACAAGGGAAGGTGACAGGAGTTTGTAGGTTGTTTACCAACTATTCTATCACTGTGCCCACCACTGTGACACACTTATCTCTGAAACTGATTCAAACAAACAGCAAAGCAAGAGCACTCATGTATCTGTCAGCAGTGTGTCCATGGGTCCCACACTCATCCTCAGTACAGGAGCAGGGACAGAAGGGAACTCACTACCAGGGAGAAGGATGTCTGAGCCTTATTGCCCTACAGAGAAGCAGAAGGTCTTATATTCAATTTGCTGAAATTTTAGCACATAATTGAGGTGCTAAAATTACTAATGTCCTTGCTCCAGATTTCTTTTACACTCAGTGGACAGGGGTATTTACATCTCCTCTCTGTTGTACTCCAGAAGCTATAATATTTATTTTGAATTTTTGATAGGAGTGGAATTATTTTATGACTTAAATTTTCTTTAAAACAGATACATGCTGCGCAAACATCCCGAAAGGACAGAGACAGAGCTCAATTTTATCTCACTGTTCTGGCCAAGGTTACCATCAGGAATTCAAGCTGCTTATGAAAACATTGAAACAGATGAAATTACAATTTTTAAAGGTATTTTAATCAGACGGTCTCCACTTTTTCTGACCTTTTACTTCCTGCTTCTTATAAACTATACAGTTACAGAAGTTAAAGTGTTTTTAAGGAAATTGAACAGATAATCTTACAATTCTGAAAATAATTACCAAAGGGTCATATTGCTGTAACAGATCTCCAGAAGTCATCCTCTAGAAAAATTTCCCCTCTGTTATAGTTAATGCCCTGAAAAAAATGTTATGAAAAGAGCTACCCTTTTTCAGGTCTGGCTGTCTTCAGTACTTTGCTTTGTGCAGAAGGATTTTTACTGAACTCATTTGACAAATACAGGCATTTTTATATTACAGTTTCTGATATGTTTATTAGTATTCGTTGTACTTTGGAAAAAAAAAGAGAAAAAAAATGTTGGAGGGAAATTGTACCGTGAGAGAAAAATTGTTCACTGAAATTACAAGCAGTCCTTCTTTTTCAAGGTCTCAAATACCCTTTAAATATCTCAGATGAATTCAATATGCAATTGCTCTAGTGCATGACCTATTACCATATACATTACCTATTACCATATGCTCCTTGCATATAAAATTACCAGAGCATTTTGATTAGACATGTGCTTTTCTTAATAGTTTAATTTGATGCACATTGCCTAGTTTTCAAAACATTACATGGCTCTATAATCAAATAGCATATTACAGGAATTTACCAAATTCAATATCCCAATCCAAGGTCAATGGTTTAACTCATCAACCTTCAGCCCTCCCCAAGTTGTTTTCCCGAAAAACACCTTATATTCATTTTTTTTTTAATTCTGGGGAAAGTTCTATCCAACCCACCTCATGATTCTAATGTTTTACTCATAAAAAGAAAAGCCATTTCCACTGTCTTCATTACGTAGTCCCAGTGTAAGAATTAGAAACATTTTCTAAAGTAGTAAACTGAAAGGAAAAATACTGAGATCTAGACACATTGTTTTCCAGACATCTAAAGCACAAGTAAATGCTTTTATAAATAGCAAAAGCAAATGAAACTTGCTCCTATTTTTCAGAGGATAAATATTGGGTCATCCGGGGATATGATGTTCTACCTGGCTATCCCAAACCAATCTATCGCTTTGGGCTCCCAAAGACTGTCAAAAGGGTTAATGCAGCTTACAACGATGAAGCTACAGGGAAAACATACTTCTTTGTAGCTGACAGATACTGGAGGTAAGATTTCATGTTCATTTACCAGACGACATGCTTTCATTTCTCTGGGGACTGATGTATTGCTATATAGTTTGAGTGGATCAATGTTTAAACCAGGCATATTCCAGAAATTTAGATGTGTTTCTTTGGATCTAAAAAAAAAAATTAGGAATTTCCTAGAAAATATCACCCTTTCATCAGGATTTTTTTTCCCAAACATTAGACTCCTGTAGCAGGATTATAAGTACTTTCACCTGAATGAAAAGCTACCCAATTAAAAAAGAGTCAATTTTTAATAGATTGCTCACTTTTCCTCCACAACAGTTCTGCTTTTTTGTGCTATGCTGTGATAGCATCCACTTTTAATTCACTTTTCAAACAAAAAGAATCATCAGTGCAAAGTGCTGTAAATAAATTCCTCTATGAAGTAATTATAAGTAGTCTCCAATTTTAAAGTTGCTTATGTTTCTAATTGAAGCTCATGACAAATTTCAGAGAGCATTTTTTTTCAAGTCCATTAGTGACACTAATTCAACTATGGTTCAGGACTGTGCTACTGTCTTCTCCGAAATTTTATGTTCTGTTTTTATCTTGAACTGGATATCCTTGAAATAGAAATTCATTTTATGTGCAAGTCGTGGCCAGGGCTCTGCTAGTCCAGAAATGCAAAAATAAATTTCTGAGCTGTTTTTCCCAGGGTCCCTGGAAACATTGTGACAAACTTTACCATAGACAGAATTTTCAAATCCTAGTGAAATCTCGAAGAGAAACTTGATAAGAAGAATCAAAAGCTACTTAAGTTAATCTCTATGAGACTTCTTAGTAACAGTAGAGTTGCATGTAAGAATTTGCTTTTAACTTTCAAAATAATGTCTGCTTCCTCATAAATTCTAATGACATTTCTTCTTCTAAGATACGATGAAAATAAAAAATCCATGGATCATGGGTATCCCAGGAAAATAGTCTCTGACTTTGGAAACATTGGCAGGGTTGATGCTGCTTTCCAGAAAGATGGTGAGTGAAACTTACCTTTAACCTGTGCTTATGTGAATATTTGGGCTTCTACAAGTAGAATATTTTTTTTCAAAAAGCTGCTATAACCTTAATGAAAAGAAAATGAAAAATATCTGGTATACATGGACTGTCTATAGTCGGGTGTTTTTTTTTTCAAATGAAATATAATTGGATTAAATTTTACTTCTAGGCTATGTGTATTTCTTCCATGGAACAACCCAGTTCCAGTTTGATCCTCGTGCCAAACGGATTGTTCGAAAAATGAAGAGCACCAGCTGGTTTAATTGTTAATTGCAATGTTTTTCCACGTGCACATTGTATGTTTTTATCTGCTGCATTTTTCAGCATTTCATGATTCTCAGGTCAGAACGGATTTCTGTTCAAATTCTATAGCAGTATGCTCTTAATAATTATTTATTTTAAGTCAAATAAATTTATATAATTTATCACAACTTCTCCTGTTACGGTCAAGTTTCCTAATAAATTATGTTTCTCATACAATTTTGTTCCTGATGTTGTTTTTGCCCTGATGCTCAAGATGCAAGTCTAGCTTTCAAACACTAAAAAATGTATTCTGGCAGGAAGTGTCAGGTTTTTTCACAAAGACAGAGAAAGGAGGACACACTTGTCTCTGAACCCCCCACTCCTCACAAACCCTGGTGAAAATCTGGTGGTTAATTAGTTGGGGCCCATTATCATCAGTGTACAGATCTACTTCCACTTTCTGTTCCTCTTTCCCCTACTTCCTCTCTTAGACTACTCTCCAGGGTGTTCATCTTTACGACTATGGGAAGAGGGCAGGGGGTTAGGGGAGAAGAAATATTCTCATATTTTGGGGTTTAGGAACTGGTTTCAAGTCCAGAAATGCAGAAATTTAGATTAGAAATGACCTCTGAGATAAGAAACACGTCACTTGCTCTCAAAGGTAGCCATCATATAATGAACATATATCACCAGTTCGTCATGTAATGAACAGATAAACTTCTGTAATCAAGACTCTTTCTACTCTCTTACTACTCCAGTACTTACTAAATCCCACCTCATTCCAGCAGTTTAGAGAATCAAGAAGTTTGCCTAAGAGATTAAAATTCTTGGCCAAAAATACCTCTGATAGAAAGATTCATAAAAAGGATGGCTTGATTTCCAGCTTAACTACATTTTCTGCAAAAGCCCCCAATTAAAATGGTGTTTGAACGGTTATTCACATTCTCTTCAGTCTTTTACAGCTCAGCTGATATCATTAGAAGCCATATGAACAGAACAAAATTTATTAGATGTTGTATCTGCATAATTCAACGGGCCTCAGAGAAAGGTTTAAGGTTAGGGTAATAAATGTTACTATATTTTGAGGAAATAATGTGTAGTGTCATAATACTTATCTGTCTGTATTAAAAGAGTACTAAATTTTATCCTTCCTAAATACAGAACTGAGTTAGTAGTTCTTATTTTTATTAAATTCAGCATAGATCAGTCTCAATACTATTCAAAGATAAGTAACTGTATAATTGAAAATTAATTTGATCATATACTTTATAAAACCTAAGAAAATATTGCAAAATAATAAAAAATTGCAGCAAATCAAAAGCTTTAATTAAGAAGTTAATTTATGTGAATCCACTTCTCACAAGGTGTTATAGATACTGGTTCTTTAATATCAAACCTCACCAGCAATGGTATTGAATCATATTTTCTTGTGTAAGCCAGTGCTACTGAATTACAATTAAATAAAAAAGGGTTTTAAAAGTATATTAATCTAAATTCTTTGTGTTGTGTTCTGCTTTTTTTAGCAGAAATGGTCTACAAATATAACACAAGATTTACAAGCAAAGATAATATTTCTTATTAGAACAATTTATATTCAGAAAATGAAAACTGGAGGCATATTTTCCCTGCACATATTAAGTAAAAGCACAGGATCTCGAGGTGATGTCAAAAGAGCTTCTCAGATTTAGAGCAGAATGCTAGTCCCTCTCTAGAAGCAAATAGTGGTGAGCAGTCATGGGGCAGTGAAAAAGTTAAATGGGAGATGAGGGGTAAGGTGGTGGTCATGTTTTAGAGGAAAGAGAGATAAAGGGTAATTTACAGACCATGGAATATGAAGAAGTTAAAAATAGGATGAAGCTTCTAATGCAATATTTTTAGTCCCAGCCTTTTCGCATCTTGTCCAGATTTTAGTTGCCAGATGCGGTTTTGAAATTCACTTTGTGAATTTCCCATGAGCAGGAGGACAAGAGTTCTACATGAAGTGATTCCTTTGTGAGAAATCTGCCCCGTGCTTGTGTGAGAGCACATTTCCTCTGCTGCGGAGTGCAGCAATTGCTCCATCCCAGCCACACCATGAGGAGGAGGGCACAGCCCTCTGGTGCCAGCTGCTCTTGTCTTCCTTCAGGCACAAAGCAGGCTTTCAGGAATTAGAAATTAGGGTGTTTTGTCCATAAAATTGCCTGTCATTTTCTTTTTGCCTTTTAATAAGTTTACCTCTATTTGCTCATTACTATACTACGTTAAAGTACTGTACCCCTCCCCAGGGCCTTGCTACAGGTGTGGTGCTTAATTGTTGCCCGTATCATCAGTAAGTCAGATTTGCCCAGCCAGGAGTTCAATTCCCTAAATGTGTTTAGTACATTTGCAGTTCTGTAAGGTCTCCTAGTAACCTATGCAGGTATGGAACAGGACTCCTGTGAGCCCATCACTTCCCAAAGGCCCACAGAGACTACACTGTCCCTAGGGACCTGTGTTGGCATGGCTGGGTCCTGCCCTCACACGCTGCAGTCTGTTAAAAGTCCATCAGGAGTCAAAGACAGTACATGGACCATTTGCCTTTGCCCCATGTATTTAACCCAGGCTGAGTGAAAATTCAATTTCATTGGCTCTGTGAAAGGATTGAGCCTGAGGAGCAGTGGCCATTAAGGTGCCTGAAGGTTCCAGCTGGTTTCCAGCTACCAGTCTAGAAGCCACAGGTCTTCCCCCTCTAGGTTCTGGATCCCAGCCACCAGTGTGGCTTTCTTTTTAGAGATCTGTCTTACATTTTTAAATTGATATATTTGTTTGTCTCAAACATTTCAAAGCTAGAGGTGCTACAGTCGGATTACATTCATGCATATGTCACAAAAGACAAATGCTGTTCAGGGCTTTTGCACCAAACATATTTTCCCATGGCACTAGAATACATTTTTGGAAAACATGTTTCAGTTGACATGAACTTAATTTTATAGAAAAATCAAGAACTATGGGCAGATTTGATATGAACTGGGAAAAGTGTTTTTCTTGCTTCCCACTGTGGCTGGCTATCAGATCCCCAGAGCTGTCTGCCATGTAGCAGTGAAGGATAGAGACAGTAAGAGCAGCTAGGTTAAGATCGGCTCATCTAACTTTGTGCATTTATTAATTAAGCTTTCTTCTACAGAAAACAGAGAAATACTTATCTCTGGAGAGTGATTTGACCAACTAACTTAAAATAGGGTCATCCATAGTGACTTCATTCAATCTAGAGAAGTTGAAATCTCTTATTTAGACTACATTTTTAGTTTCAGCTAACATTTGTGTTTGCTCAGAAGACATTTGAGTGACAAATGATGGAGATATACATCACAGAAAACACTACCAGGGTTTTGCAACATGGCAATCTACACAACTCAGCAGCCAGTTCCCACTTCCCAAGGGAGAGAGACCGGAAAACGTTCACAAGGGATGTTTCACAAGCACGTCTGTAGCTGGCCTTGGGGTCTGGGAAAAGAAGAAGCTGTATAAAGTAGCTTCTGGTTACAGTTTCCTAATGCTTATCTTTGACATTTATTAGAGTTGGTAGACATTGAGCTACCCCATGACTCCTTTTCTCCTCTTAGAAGGCAGCAGCAGTGTGACCCCTGTTTTAACTGAGAAAGCTGACGGTCTACCACATCAGCAGTACTGACAATGTTACGCAGAGCGTCCAAGGAACCAGAAATAGTGCTGCAGCATGGTCATGACCTTAACACTATAACAGCAGGGACTCAACATTCCTAATTGTTCACAATATGGGTGTCTGTTATGTAGCTGTCTAAATCTGCATTATACCAACAAAAAATCTAATCAATATGGTAAAATAAAGACAGAACTGAATGGGACCCATACAATGCAATTATAATAATCAAGAGAAGAGTTTGTTGTTTTGGTTTTTTTTAAGTATCTGGGAAACGCCTTTAACAACAAGTCTAACAACGAGGATATCGGGATGAAAAAATTCACCATTAATGCCTCCAGCTGGAGAAAATTTGGCTGAAAGGGACAGCAAAAAAGCCAAAAACCAGAAGCATGGGTTTCCTGAAAAAGCCACGGTCCAACATGAAGGTATTTCTTTCAACAGTTTTGTATAAGTTGAGTATGTGCTGTGAGAGCTCCTCTGGGGTGCTAAACACCTTCATCTCCCTTTGCTGCCAGTGGAAGAGGAAGGTGCTTGGCTGGAACAGGGTGAAATCCCATAATTTGTCACAGCTTGTGTGACTCTTGGAACTTCCCTTATTCTGAATTACTTAAGACAGGAAATAATCATATGCCCTGTGGCTAATGTGGTTAAACTGAAAAAAACGCTTTAGTGATGAAATGGCAGAAAGATAGATAGATGGATAGATGGATGGATGGATGGATGGATGGATGGATGGATGGATAGATAGATAGATAGATAGATAGATAGATAGATAGATAGATAGATAGATAGATAGAAGAGTATTCACATTCTTTAGGCTCAATTTATAAGGCTTGTTTATGTATATTTTGGATTCCACCAGAATAGTTTAAAAGAAAAACACTGCTTTAAAAAATTGCCAGAAAGAAGTGGGTAAGGAATTGGCATTTTCCATCATAAACCAATTTGAAAAGAAAATCTGCTTACAGTCATTTCTCCCAAAGTCTGTTCTGTTTTCTTTTTTATGGGATTCATACCTCATGCACAATTCCCATTTTCTAGGTGGAGAATGTAGAGTACCCTGACATTAGGTGGTCCCAATTCACACAGGTGTGTTGGGACAGTTTAAAAGGTTTTGCATTTGCCCACTACTTAATCTGGCATGAAATTGCTCAGGTTTGTCAAAGTCAGTGTAAAATAACTGAAACTGAGTGCCAGTTTTGAAAGGTAGCCAAGTTTTGAAAGTAGCCAATCTGCTTAGACAGATTCAAATCCCAACTGACTTCAGATGACTGTGAAGTCGGATGGGTTCAATTAAGTTTTATTGTGTTAGTCTGCACAATAAAAACAGTGTTATAACTTGTGTGGGGGGAATCAGAGTATGATGAGCTCTGAGTCAGTCTACAGCTGACTCTCCAGAGCACCCCATACAAACTGGGACATGAGAAAGGAGGCACATGGAGCAGAAAGCAGACAGCTCTCCTGCCAGGACAGGGATGAGAGGAAAAATGAAGGCTCTTTCACTCTGGCTTGTGATATGCACAGCTGTTTCTAGCGCTCGTCCCTTCCACCCAGAGAAAGACAATGAAGAAGATGCAAAGCTTGTACAGGTAACTAAATTGTCCATATCTGGGATCTAATGGGCCCTCTATTTTTAGACCTATTCTATGTGGTCCAGTTGCATAGCACCTTGCTGCATTTCTGAGACAATGCTATTGCATAGAGCTCTGCTGCTCGAACTTTATATTAAAGTAGGATAAATCTGTACAAACTGGAAATGTCAAGTTAATAAGAGTCAGGACATTGTTGTCTGTTTCTGTTTAGCTATGATCGTCATGAAAACATCTGTTGTGCTCCAAAATCACAGGAAAGTTTTGCCAGCAACCTACACAAATAATATCAGTCTGAAGGTATTAATTTGTTCAAAAAACAGATCAAAATGTGAAACATGTCGCATTTTTTTTCACTAGAACTACTTGAATAAATTCTATGCTGTTGAGCCAGATCCAAATCAACTTGGATGGAAAATAAATGCTGAATCTGCAGCTGAAAAACTCCGGAAAATGCAACAATTTTTTGGTTTGAAAGTGACGGGAAAACTGGATAATGAGACATTGGAAATGATGAAGAAACCCAGGTGTGGGGTTCCTGATGTGGGTCTCTATGGCTTCACCCTGCCTGGATGGAAAAAAACCAAACTGACATACAGGTAGTATAATTACTTTTTGAGTTTAAATTTTAGATTTGTGGGTATCCAAATTTGTTATACTTAAATATAACTTCTATAGCAATTGTTTCCTGTTGGGAATACAAAAATGTTTCTCTCTCCACAGCTGTTAGCCATGCATGCTTCTGAGAAGAATTTCTGAAAATCAAGCTGGGTATTTTACATTTACTGGTTCAACCATAGTATTTTGCCTGTTATGTATCACTCCTGACAAATATTCTGTAAGCCAAACAGAAACATCAATTGCGCCCTGGACAAGCCTCGTTATCTTTAAAATTTGCTGAGACAACAGTGGAGTAGTCACAGAAATCTGAGGAGACAACTTTCCTCATGCTCAAGGGGCAACATCCTGGCTAAGGCCCATTTTAAGAAAAAATCAATAATGTGTACACAACTATTATGAAAAAGACATGTTGGAGAGTTATCACATACTCAAACACACTCAGTATTTACACATTAAACTCGCTCAGCCCAAGATGAATCTTGGGAACTATTTGTTTACAGGTTACATTGTTTCTTTATTTTATGTTCATCTTCTTAACCATGTTAGGGATTTTCCTTTTCCTGCAAATACTAAATATTATGCTTGAATTCTCATAACTGTAGAATTGTGAACTACACACCAGATATGAGCAAGGAGGATGTGGATAAAGCAGTTGAGAAGGCGTTTAAAGTGTGGAGTGCTGTCACTCCGCTGATTTTCACTCGCATTCATAGGGGAATAGCAGATGTGATGATTGCTTTTGGGACCAAAGGTAAAATGAATACTGCACTCAATGCTAAAATTAATTAATATATTTTTCAATAGTCATTACCTAAGCTTAGTGTTGCATCAACTTCATGTTATTTAGTTCATGGACATTGCCCTCGCTATTTTGATGGCCCCCTTGGAGTTCTGGCTCACGCCTTTCCACCTGGCAATGGTTTAGGCGGTGATGTGCACTTTGACGAGGATGAAGACTGGACCACAGGCTCAGCTGGTAGGTTCAAAAATGGTTTATAAAGTGTTATGCAGATGAATAAATTTCATTCTGATTTTATTTAAGGGAAGGAAGAGACTGAGATGAAACTGTATTAACTATAAGAGCAGTTTGAGGATATTGCAGGCTGTTCACTAACAGGGATACTTACAGTGACACAGACATAAACACCTTGATCTACTCTAGTCCTTAATTAGTCCCTAATTAGTCCTGTTGGTAAAAATACCAACAGGACAATCCTTTTCAGGTAACAATGCCACAGACACAGCACCTGGGGACTGGTGGTGGCCCAGAGTTTCACAAGCCTTGATAAAAGCTTTCTCTTTTCCCCTCTGGTGCACACCAGGCCTGGCACTACCGTGGCCTGTGCTTTGCAGCAGCGCTCAGAGGACATCCCCACTACCTAAAAATCAATACAGCCACCAGGGATAAGGAAGAGCTGACTAAAAATTCCAGGGTAGGTTCAACAATAGGCAGCAGAGAGGGGAACACTGAGTGCCCAGGCTCAATCTGTCTGGGGGTGTCGGCTGTGCTCAGCCTCCAGGCTGGCTGTATAGCACCTACTGCCTCTGGCACATTACCCTCTGCTACTTTAGACCCTTTTCTCATCCACATTTTGGGGTGGAAAGCTGCAACAAGAGAACTGAGGTCAGGAAGAGCAAGGCACTAATGAACAGAGAAGTGCTGTAAAACCACTGCACAAGGAGGAGACTGTGGATTTATTGAGGTGGGAAAAAAAAGAGAGGGATGAGTGCTGGACATGTCACATGATTAAATGTGACGTTCTCCCCACACTGGGATTGAATGGATCAACCACGTGTTTTCTGCTGTTCCTCAGCAGCCCAGCTCCAGCAGCCAGACATTGCAGAACTTGGAACACTGGAAGACTCGTGAGAGGGGAGGACTGACTGGAAATATGTGTGGAAAAAATGAGGTTTTATTTTGTTTGGATTCTTGACAAATGAATATTTTGGCTTCAGCCAGCCTTTCTTGGGCAATTCATGACCAGTCCTCTCCTCTGCCACAGACTTGTGCTCTTCATTAAGTCTGTTGACATTTCTGGATCTTGGTCTGCAGGACAGATGATCGTTCTTCCCTAATTCAGAAAGGCATCTTACTTGGAGGGACGCATGTTGAAGGAAATTTCATTTTTATTTCTTTATTTGGTTAACATATTTGACTGGGAATAAGCATGCAGAAGCATAATATTTCAAAAATTTATTTTGTTTCATAAATCTCTTAAGAAACCACATGCTTTAAAGTCCCAATGGTAAAAAGGTAAAGCATTCTGCTACTATTTTATTTTTCCTTGTCTATTCATGATCTCACCTTTCCTTCTCAGGTTTGTAGGAGGGAGAGTGACACACAGAGTGACACTTTGATACCTGCGGTGAGCACAGAGTGTGTCCTCATGCCTTGCCCTGGAGAGCTGTTAGTTTGATCTGACTCACTATCCAATCTGTTCTACCTCAGCCAGGAAACCCTGCCAGGACATTCCAGAGAGCTGCACCCACCCTCACCCCCAGATATCTGTCCATGACACACACACACACTTTCAGTAGCTAACAGAAAGCAAGAGGGTCAAAAGCCTTTCCCTTCTACTGGGGGAAGACCACAATCTTGTCTTATGCAAAAATATGTTCACCTAGATGCATTCCCTAGTGAAGGTCAATATACTGTATAAAAACCGTGCCTGAGCAATAGCCTGATGCTGTGATCATATCTGCCATTTACAGAGTAAAATTTGACTGATCTCTTCTCTCTATCCATTTCATAAGGGTTCAACTTGTTCCTTGTTGCTGCTCATGAGTTTGGCCATGCCCTGGGTCTCTCCCATTCTAATGATCAGAGAGCTCTCATGTTCCCCAATTATGCCTACATCAGCCCCAGTGAATTTCCCCTCTCTCCAGATGATATAAGTGGCATTCAATCAATTTATGGTGAGTAAAATCCATGGCTTTAAAAGAAAAGGTAAACAGAGGAGAAATAATCTCTTTCACAATGTTTCACCATAAACTTAATCATATTCACATAATATTTTAAAAAGGCAAGGTGTGGAAGCCTTAATATTTCTACAATTAAGTGTAATCTTTCCAAAATTTCTCCCTCAGGATCCCCACCAAATTCCCCAGATAAAAGGCCAACCATCCCTACCTCGCCTGAAATCTGTGGCTTCCAGATATCTTTTGATGCTGTAACTACACTCCGACAAGAAATCATTTTTCTAAAGGGCAGGTAAATACTGATGGGACATTTGTCTGCATGAGATTTAATTTTTCTTGATTTATACAAAGACTGAATACTTTTGTGGTTCACATGTTTACAGCACTTACAATGAGAAAAAAGTATTTCAATTCATGGAAATGAAAGTTTTAGCAGATATTAGTTGCATTAGTATTTTACAGGATGCCCTGAAAAAAATGGCTTCATTTTTTTCCAGAAAAAACCTCAATCCCAATGAGACCTTATTCCCAAATGCACACATAGACAGTTACACTGAGTTGTGACTTAATTTTACTAATTTAAGTAAATAACAACTAGGAAATAAATACATTTGACCATACAGTTGAACCAATCTCTCCTTCGATCCCCTCTGCAAACCCAAAATCATCTGGGGAATTCATCTGCTGAAGAGGTTACAGTAAGTTCTACCTGGGCTCCTATAAACCTCTCACTATACAGTACAGGGACAACTTGAAATATTCATCTGCTTACAACTGATCATTTATCAATCAGTATCAGTGAAATGCCAGCATGAAGATAGAATAAAAAAACCAGACACTTCCCAGTGCAGGGACTTATTTCCTTTCTGACACATCAAGCCAGGTAGCTCCACTGACAAGAAAGAGCTTGTAAGCCACAGTGTTGCTCATATTCTTTTGCACACACAGAAGTTTCTGTGGTTTGTGATGTACTGCAAACCTGTTTCATATTTAAATCAGGCACTTATGGCGGGTATATCCTGATAACTCAGAAGCTGAACGTGAATTAATTTCTGCCTTCTGGCCAAATCTGCCTCCTGGTATTGAAGCTGCATATGAGAACACAAAAGATCAGATCCTGCTTTTCAAAGGTGATGTATGAGATTTTAGCTAAGTTTTTTTTCTTAATTTAATTATGTGGGCAGAAGGGATATGTACATAAAATACATTTTTCAAATAGATAAAATTAAAACTCAGAATATTTCATCTATTTTTCTACACCCTACAATAAAGGAGTGCATTTTGTAATTTACTCTCTGAAAATGACTGGCAGAACTAAATATTTTAATTTGTCTTAACAGGCAACAAATTCTGGGTTATCAGCAGATATCAGGTGTTGCTTGGTTATCCAAAGAATATCAACACACTGGGCTTCCCTAAAGGTGTCAAGAGAGTTGATTCAGCTGTTTGTAATAAAAATACAGGGAAGACAGACTTTTTCATAGGTGACAAGTACTGGAGGTAAGAAGAATTGACAAATGTTTTCCTAATAACAACTCCAATATAATCTGAATAAAAATTAAAGTGAACATGTGATAAAAGAGAAAGTAGACCTTTCAGGTAACTGTAGGTTCCCTCCAAATCCTATTCCCAAACTGGCATGAGTGAGTCTTGATACCCAAAGAGCAGGCAGGGGAAGAAAGAAGTCAGCTTTGGGAAGCTGAAAGATTCCTTCTGTGTGCAAGCACAGTGGCTGCAAAGGTCCTCAGATAACCAGAAGTTTGAACCAGGGCAAGCATGGTCCACACAGATTTTATTGTGACTAAGTGTGGGGTTCCTCAGTGATACATACAGTGTCATCTGGATTTTGAGATTCCTGTGGTTTCCTGTTTTTTGGTTTTGATTAATTTGGGTAGAGTGTTTACAATATCTTGCATTGTTCTTTTACTGCCTTGGTCACAAGACAACAGCATGCAAGTAAACCACAACACGCATTTCTTACCTAGTAACTCATTCTCTCAGCCTCAGATGCCTGTGAAAAATATTTCTTGTATCCAAGGAGAAGTGAAACAAAGGCTTTGTTTGCTTGGTTTGTTTTGGGTTTCTTTCCCCTGAGAGGGTTCCTCAAATCTGGAAGAACAGTTCAGGTTCTCCTTTCAAGTCCACTGAATTTAGTCCTATCTCATAAAAATTGTCCTGGCTCACATGGGAAAAACTTGATGTATTAGAAATAAGCCAGATTCCTTGCCACCATCTAAATTTGTCAGCTATAGTCAGTAGAGGACTATGTACAATATCTTATCAAAGTCTGAGAGGAAGAGTCAAAATTCATGCTATAAGTATGTGCTATAGCGAGAATGAATCTGTCCAGTTTCCATGCACTGTCACACTGTTATCATCAGAGAAGGGACATCTCATCCCTGGAGTCAAAAATGTGAGTCTTCCTCCCATTTTTCTCACTTAAGATGCTTCTTTGGAAGTGTTTACCTTTATCAGCAATCAAGAAACAACCTCCTGGAAAACACAGTGGCCAGCATCTTGCAGCCATGTGTGGAAGTAAATAACACAACTTTCTCTTGCAACCCCAGAGAAACCAACTAAATTGCAGATGGGTAGGCATGTTTTAAAATCTGCTAAACTCTGTGCAGAATTGAAGTCTAAACTCTGGAAAATTGCTTGTCTCCCTTCATATGATTTAGGTTTGATGAAAGCAGCCAGTCCATGGAGAAGGGTTATCCTAGACTGACACTTGATGAATTTCCAGGAATTAGTCAGAGGGTTGATGCTGTTTTTCAACAGAAAGGTAAATGAAATAAGCTTTTATGTAAAATCAGTTTAGTTCTAAAGATCATAAGTTCTGAAACTATGATGAATGTCATTATTGCTGCATCCTGCAAAAGACAGAAATGAAGAGATGCTCTCCTGTGTGTATGAAGGGGATTTGTCAGAACGAAGCTATTTCTTGTATCCATAATATAATGCTTTTCTTTTTCATTTCCAGGATTATTCTACTTCTTTCATGGACCGAAACAGTGGGAGTTTGACCCTGTTGCTAAAAAAGTTATCAGGGAAATGAAGAGTAATAGCTGGTTTCACTGTTGGCATTATTAAACTTCCTTACATTCAACGAAAGACAATAACTACCATTCCAGAGGTCTCAGAAATTGTTTGTATGTACACTGCTATACAGAATAGGCAACAGGACTAGTTTTCAAAAATACTTTCCATATATTTTAATAAATTAACATGTCAGCTTAAATTTTATTTTCAAATACTACAACTTTGGGGAAAATTGCATTTTTCCCATAAGTGAAAATTATACAAAATAATTTATTACTTTATTCTCCAGGTGGTTTGGGGTTTTTTTTTTTAGTAGTATGGCATTAAAGAGTTTTAGGTTGATGGCACCTGTTTTCTGCTTCATCTGTTGAAGGCATTCTACATTTCTGAGGTGTGAAAGGCTGCAGGTTGATATTCTATTATCCCTCCAGCATACAATGTTTCTACTTTGCCTCTTTTCTCTCCAAAGAGCAAGGTTCTTTTCTCTCCATCTGCAAGATACAAGCTTTCATTAGCCACTTGCTTTTCTGCACTGTGCATAAGATGCATTTTCCTGCGTCTTGTCCTGCTCTTCTTGGGCTGTTGCAGCTTTGTCCCTTTCATATCACAACAGTACTTTGACACTAAATCACTCTGAAGTGCCAATGTCTGAATTTCAAAATTATTTCACCTGATAATCACCCTGATCAGTCTTTATAGCACAAAAATTAACATTTCATCAGTGTCCACTTTGTCTGAAGCTATGAATTACATCCTTCACACATCAGCCCTGTCCTGTTCAAGAATAGATTCAACCACCATGTCATGGAGCACAACCTTTGCTTACTGATACAAACCATGTGCTTTTCATACATCTGACATTTATTGCCAGATGCAAACTCCAGATGCAACAAAATTTGTTGCCATGCAAACTCCTCACAAAATCAAACAAAATCTATAGATTCACAGTCATATCCTCTACAGGTATTTCTTTTACATTTAGTTCTGGAAACAGGCCCAGAACACAATGCCAAATTGTTGGCCATACAGAGTGCATGGCTGGGGATCTCTGAGAACCTGGTCTCAGTACTGGTTTGTCCTGCTGTTCTCCAGTTCTCACATTTTTGTCTGTTATACACACTTCTCCCATGATTTAGTAAAATGTTTCTTTTTGCTCTGTGTATTTTTATAACAATGCAGTGACCCCAGCATGAACCTTGCCCACCTGACTTGCTGTAAACAGCAGCAGTACCACCGTGCTGCTGCTATTGCTGTGAGAAACCCACTGGCTTTGATCCCACCAGGAAATCAAAGTAAAGGATTGAATGTGATGTTTCACTAATCTACAAGTCTAATCATGGGGAGCACCATCACCATTTTCATCCCCAAGAAAATGTAAGCCTAAAGTGGGGTGGTATGGTAGACATTTGAGGGAGATTCATCTGACTGCTTTAGCTTCCTGTCTAGATATATGAAGGGGAAGAACTTTTCCACAACATTACTCATCTCATCTCCTTTCATCTCATCTCATCTCATCTCATCTCATCTCATCTCATCTCATCTCATCTCATCTCATCTCATCTCATCTCATCTCACTCAAAGACTATGCTGGAGCAAACCAGTGTCTTCAGCCTCCATAGAAAACATCTCTTTGCAGAAGAAGGCTACCCAACTAGCTTAGAGTAGCTGCCTTTCAGACAGATAAGGCTGGGTGGAATTAATAGCATCTTTGATGCCTATCTCTCAGTTTTTATTCAGAATAGGACATCCTACATTTCTCCTCTATGATGTTTGCTTTTTTGAAAAGTTACAACAGCAGCATTATCACCACAAGCCAGCGATAAAAGTTGTCTGAAGGCACCTGCTTGCACTTGTGATATCCCACACAAAAAAAAGCAGAATATGCTGGAGGCAGGTGGAACAGAGATGATTCCTTAGCTATTTATGTCTTTTCAGGCTCCTTAAACTCTTCTCCAGCATTCAATCAAATTGATGGCTGTGTAGTAGAAAGCACAGTTTAACAGCACAGCCAGAGAAGCGGCCAAGTTACACCCAGGTGTTTATGGTCAGAGGCAAGATTACTCTTTAACACACTGTCTGCTCAGTGTGTAATATGATTGTAATTTTAACTTCAAGAAACGTTTAATCATTGAGTCATAGAGGAGTTTATTCTGTTCTTTGCAATACATAGGCAAGTTCCACTGTCTTCAGATATATAAACAATCATACTAGCCTGTGCTCCTTCTTTTCTTAAGTGAAACATTGTTTCATAATTTATAAAAAACCCTGGTCTTAAGGCAAGTTAATCTTTAACAGTGGAAGGTAGTTCATGAAGAGTTCTGACTGGCAGCTCTGGCATTTTGTTAAACCAGTGTGAAGTTCATGTTCGCAGGTCCCTTGTGAAAATGAATAAAGCAATCTGTATTGCTTTTCCTTTATTAGCAAAGAAGGCCTAAAAAGTCATTCCCAACACAGAAAGACTTGACTTCTGATTAGTGGTAACAGCTTGGTCACTCAGTTTTCCCTCTCTGATTGTCATTTCATTAGAGGAGTAGGAACCAGTATAGGAGTGTCAGAACAGAAGAGTGCTTACTGGTGATCCTGTCCTTCCATCTCTGGACAACATGGGATTATGTCTTGCAGCTCACTGTATCCTCCCACAGCCCCAGAGAGTCCCCAGTACCTCTCCCCCTCTCCTTTTCCTCCTATAGCTCCTCATAATGCATGTCCCCATGTTATATTTAGGTATCTAGCTGGGCAATGCTGTGCAGTTACCCGTGGGGTGACCAGCCACTGGCCCCACAGCCCGGCCCAGGGATGAATAATCTGTCTTCCCATCAAAAGGGGTTTTTCTCTTCTAGCCTGCTGCTATTTTCCATAAAACCAGAAGGAACTGTGGAATTTCAGTTTGGCTTGGAAAAATTGGTCAGAACCTCCAGTTGCTGTGGAACCAGATGGACACACAGAAAACAGAATCCCATGTGGTAAAGCTGAAATAATTGTCTCAGTGTTTTCACTAAACATTCTTCTTGCTTTCCACTGCAGATTTACGTTCCGTTTTATAATATTGTATTCCTCTTACTGTTGACAAGAGAGTTTGAGAGGGCATACAAGGAAAGGCAGAAATTACATATAAAACCAAGGAGACAGCTGATCCACATTTGTCTTCCCAGTTGTTTCCTGTCACCAAGAAAAATGGTCATTTGCTTCTCATCCAATTGATGGTTTTCAACAGCTGTTTTTCAAATTAACAAGATCCTAAGATGATGAGACTGAACTAAAATGAGGAAATTGTACATCCTAATGTAATGTGTTACTGAGGCACACAAACTACAGCATTCCTGGTAGATTGTCCTGAAAAGTCCTGCTCACTTCTTTGCTTGCAGGAACCCTATCTCTCGACACTGGCACGGGAGTGTTTCAGCTAACAGAGTGGGGCAGGAGCTACGTATGATTAAATACTTGCTAGAGCAGAGCTGAAAAGCCACATCTTACCCTTTCAAGTGAGCAATTCTCTTCTGAGCTCTCATGTGACAGACAGATACACCAGAAGCCCTGAGAACACTGATACTGATTTTTTTTTAGGGGTTTAGTACCTTGAAGGAAGAAAAAAGATAAGCATGGGAGCTTACGCATAAAGAAAGAACTTGCTATTGCCTGGCTGTACATAACCATTCTTCCCTGCACTCTCTCATAACTTCATGCCCCTTGCTGCAAATTGCCCAAGTCCCAATAAAAGGAAATGAAGGTGCAAGGCTGTGTTTAAGTGCCGATAGCCAACGTGTTCTTTGAGCAGCTTATGAAGTTTGAACCTTTTTGAACACTGGTCCATCAGACATGCCAGAGCCACACCCAAAGCAGAGAACTGAAACCCAGTCCAGACATTGCAGGTGCTGAAACAGAACATCAACAAGAACTGAGGGTGAGTGGCACAGTGCAGATGAGAGACCTGGCCAAAACAGGGAGAGCATTTTGCTGAGGTCTACACACCCAGGCAGAGAGCCTTGCAGAGGGAGCCCTTTTAGTGACAGCCATCTCAGTGATATTACTGAGTGTACCTTGCACATGTACTTTGCAGACAAAATCTAAGGATTTGACAGGTGGGTTCTGTGGTTCTGGCTGTAAATCAGACATTTTCATGGTCTATCTGCATTAACTGATTAAATCAGCTTGGGATAAGGGATATCTGTTGGATTTTTCCTCAGGCATCCCAGGCTTCATGTGTTTTATGGTCTGTAAGCACTGTAGCTTGCCAACTTCAGATAACTTAGTGGACACAGATCCATGTGTGTGTTTTTGTATGCTCCTTAGAGTACTTTGTCCCCATATGGGTGTATGTGGGTCTGCAGAGGCTCTGTGGGGCTCTGCAGCCTGCAGGAGCTGAAGAAGCAGGGAAGGTGTGGAAATGCCTTCTCTGTATGATAGGAACAAATGCTGCTGCTGGAACCAAGGACATACAACCTCCACAATAATGAACAGCACAAGGCTCCAAACTATCAGATACAAATCCAACATGGGCTCCTAAAGACTAGGTCTGGTTCTGGGGTGGGTAACTCAGCCTCTGGATATTGTGTCTGTTTGACCTCGGACTGATGAGGGTGGTGATCACTTTTGGACCATTTGCTGCAGGAGGTTAGCACAGGATCCCAAATAAAACGCTGTTTCTTGCAACAGACTGGAGTTAAGAACTTCACCTTGCCCAGCCCAGCAATTCCCATGGGCACAGCCCGCAGGGACGTGCCAGCGCTGCCCACTGCCCCTGCTTCGGGGCCCCGCTCAGGGGGTGGGGGCTCAGCACCACTGCCCCAAGGTCACTGATGTCACAAGTCCATTTCACTGGACTTGTACCTTTATGACACTTGGCCAAAAATAACTAATTCTGAGAAATTCTTGGGAAAATAAACTTCCTGAAAAAATATGCAATTTATACAATTTTTATTTTTCATCAGAATCTGGAAAATGCCCCAGAAAAATGTCACCTGAGTCACTGCTGTCACCCTGGGTCACCGCTGGCACCGCGCGGTCACCGCTGCCACCTAGCGCTCACAGCTGGCACTCCGCAGTCACATCTG